GCCCACGTGGGTGGGCCATAGGTCAGGAAGTGGTGAAATGCCAGGACAGAGGCAGGATGACAAAAGGCCTTTCCACGTGAGGTCGTGGCTGAGGTTTTATTCCGAGTGTGGTGGGCGCCCCGGGCGGGGGGCAGGAGAGGACAGCGGGGGTGGGAAGGGGGAGGTGGGCAGAGCTCAGGCTCCCACTCGGGGCCCTGCAGTTCCGCGGAGTGAACCCTAGGTGGCAGCACTGCGCACGGCGAGCGGCTCAGCGGCCTTTCCGAGGCGGGAGCCGGAGGCTCCTTCCTAGCGGGGCAGGGTCCAAGTTCTCCTCCCTGTGGCCCTCGGGCCTCTGCCCCCTCCGTCCAGGACGCTCTACGTGCACCTCTTCCCAGGCCTGGCTCCTCCTGGTCCTTCAGCTCAGCCGTCACCCTCCAGTCTGGCCTGGGCTTTCCACCCACAGGCCTCTCATCACTTGGGTATGGGTCACCTTGGGGACTCCTCTGGGGACCGTTTAGTGGTTGGTCTGCCTTCCCTGGTGGCGAGAGCCCATGTGGGTGGGGCTTGGTCTCTGCCGATCCCTCAGGGCCAAGAACAGGGGCCGGCCCATTAGGAGCCACTCTGTTTACAGAGCTGAATGAACCAGCGGGCCCTCTGTTAAAGGAGCAGCCTCACTCCCCCCTTCCCCCTCCCCTGCGATTCTGCAAACAAGGTAGGTTTCTCGGGTTCCCGGCCTTTGCACGTGCCGCGGCCTCTGCCGGCCAGTCTCGACTTTCAGGACTGAGCGCAGATGTGACCCCACTGGGAACACGGAGGCCCCTGTGGGGCTCTCAGGGGGGTCGGCGCATCACCGTACACGGTGTCTGCCAGCCGGGCCCCCCTCAGTTCTTGAAGGAGGGACCCCAGGCCCTAGTGGGTCCGGGGCCCGGCACATAGCGGGGCTCGTGCTCTCATGACCGAAAAGCAAATGCCCAGTGGGGTGTGGTTCTGGCCGTCTGTTCACTGGGAGGCCTGGACCCTGGGCAGAGGTGCACGGGGCCAGGGATCGCCCAGCTTCCCGCCCCAGGCCCAGTCAAGCCCTACCCAGCATGCAGGAGTGTGTGAAGGGGCCCTCGCTGGAGTGGAGGCCGTAGGTGCCCAGGTAGGGCGACACCACCTTCTGGATCAGCGTCTCCAGACACAGGTAGTCCTTGGTCACACCCCGGGACTCGTGCACCCCCTGCAAGAGAGGGAGGGAGGGAGGGAGGCAGGTGGTCACTAGATGGCCCGTTCCTTGCCTCCGTGGCCCAGCCAGCCTCCGCTCAAAGGTCACCACAAACGGCCCGTCCCTCCTCCCCATTCCCACGGGGTCTCTGCCCCCATCGCAGGGCACACAGTGATCTCCCCCTCCCCAGCCCTTTCTCTCGAGTTGGGGCCGCCGAGTCCCTCTCCTGCTTCGACACCCCGGAGCCTGCCCTCTGCGCACAGCAGCCGGTGTGGTCCGAAAGCATGTGACGTCCCGTGGAAAAGGGCCCGGTGGCTAAGCCAGGCTGAGCACTCCGAGCTCTGCCCTTTGGGATAGAGTCTCCTCCCTCTGGGAGCCCTCGGGGAGACAGTAGCTGACCTCCCCCAGCGAGGGCAGCCCATGCCCTGGGGCCCCCTGCCCTCGACCCATAGAGCGCTACGGGCAGAGCGCGTCGAGCCAGCCCTGCCCCTCATCTGCCGGCCCGGCCAGGTCCCGTCCACCTCCTCCCTGAGCCCCCTTGTCCAGAGCTCTGAAGGGATCTCTACCCCCTCTGGTTCCATTAGGGCCAAAACCTGAGGAAGGCGGCCGCCCCCAGGACAGCCTTGGTCTTGCTGATGCGGGGAGTCGGGCGGGGGGG